TAAAGTGATGGAGAGAGGTTTACTTATTTATGATTCCAGACAAATAGAGAATTTAAACAAGATCATATACAAACAAGATTATACAATTTGAGTGTTTTTGATAGAAAAAAAAGGATGTTAGAATTAAAATGATATTGTTAAAAGTATATTATTTTTAAAACCTTGTAGTTTAGATAATATTAAAAAAGACTTCTTTTGTTGCCAAACCTGACAAGCATATCTAAGATATGATCCAAAAATTCCATTGTATATATTGAGTAAAGTTTCATAATTGACATGTGACAAATTTTGGCTAGCATTCTATTTAATTTCACACAATATCACTGCTATGTTTGATCTACACAATTTCGCTGCTAAGTCTTAATTTATTTCTTGATTATCTAATATCAGAAAAATGAACAAATTTCCTTTTTCTTCATTATACCTAAATAGAATTTTATCAACAAAATACTTAGTAGGTTTCTTTTTCTCAGTGTTAATTTTTTTAATACATAATACCTAAAAAAATTTTTATGATAGTGAACAGCATAGATAAGGTACTATTAATAAATTCTGAATCTATTTTTTTAAAATAATCTTTTGATCTTTGTAGCTCTCGATACATATCAATGTGCCTTTGAATTTTTTGTATCGATCTGAAAGTATTATAAAAATAAAAAATAAGGTTAAAATATAAAATAAAAATGATATTTTTACTCTATAACTTTTTATACTATTGTCAACTCTAAAATTGATAGATAAAGCACACACCTAAGGAACATATTGACAAGTTTAGTTTAGAGTATGTCTTGCCTATTTGTCACATTAGTAACAATTGCAAATGTGACAAATAAATCAGAGCTGTTTAGTCAGACATAAAAGTAGTAATTGCACTTTCACGTCTGACTGGATAACTTTGATTGTCCAGGTAGACATGAAAGTGGTGTTTTTAAGATCGGATCATAGGTTTTAGAATTCTTAAGTGAGAATACAAAAGTATAGATATCTAAAGGATTAGTGAGATTTATTTCAAGTCAAAAAATTATCTTAATGTTAAAAAAAATACTAACTGGCATGACAACCACTAGCACTCCATGACCATAAAAGTAAAAAGATGCTAATATAAAAATAGAACCCTGAGCTAATGAGAATCTTGAATTGCTAACATACCAACCAGCACACTAAACAGTTGTACTACTGTGACAGTGGGAGTACTGATAAAAAAATATATTAGGTGATTAAGTAAATAGAATATGAGTGCTGGTATTAAATGAAAGTCAGAGTGGCATTAGAGGAACAAAAAATTTTTTTTTTTTTCAATAAGGAAAAAATTAAATTATGCTTTTTATTATTTTTTAATTTTTTTTTAACTTTTAATCCATTTATTTAACCAAAAATTGATAAAATAAAATTTTTTGTATAGTTTTATAAAATTAAGTTAGGTACACCTAAATAAAATAAACAAACAAACAAAAACAAACAGCAATAATAATAGACTAGCTGATCTGACCTGTAAAAATACGGGTCTTCGTAAGTTTATTCTACACTGACTTTTTCTATACTTTTTTCTTTATATATATATCCTAACTTTCGGGACCCATAAAATATGGGTCTTTACCAAATCTACCATTTCTATACTTATCTATTCCACACCGATCATTTCTATACCTATGATTTGTTTACTATAATATTTTTATGTAAAATAACTCATTTTAAAAAATTGCCTTAAGAGCAGAAAAATTAACATGCACACCCTTTCAGCATACCTAGAGCTTATAAGTGATTTTCAATTAGGTTTGTTTTTCTCTTAACCAATTATCATTGATAGCTCAGTGGTTTAGTGTGCTGTCATCAGTTTTGTTTTGGGGGATTAATGACAAATACAGCAGAATTGAAATTTTTCAATCCTGCTGCTTTGAAATTTTTCAATCTTGCTGATTTATAGCAAAAATTTTATAATAGTATATATCTATGATAATTTTAGCAATATTTACAGCAAAAAAATATTAATATACCAATAAAGATTTTTAATTGTTAAAATAAAATTCAAAAGTTTTCTCATTTTTATAAATTTATTATTATTACCCAATTGTTCCATATACTGCCTGCAAACTCAGCATATGCACATATGCTAAAGACATTTACACTTACAGACGTTTATATGCAATGCTATCCAAATAGCAGAACTAAGAAGATCTTTAAAAACTATAGACAATTAAAAACTATAGACTATAAAACATTGAGGGATCATCCATAAATTATGCAACACTAAATTTATTTTTAAAAAAGGAGATCTTCAATTCTTTTAGGTAGCGATTTTCATTAAACTTAATGAGCTATCTTGATTTTTTATTTAACATATGACTCTGCAAAGAAAAATTTTGATCTTTTTTGTTTTGTTCATTAGTGAAATTTTGCGTTGTGTAATTTATAGACGATCCTTTATTTAAAAAATAAGGTTAAGGATCAGCTAAAAAGTATATAAAGCCAAAAAATAAAGAAGTATAATACTATTTTGATGGTTTTCTAAATTCTGTTGTGTTGCAAACTCAGTTTAAAATGTTTAACGGAGGCGTGGTAAAATAGCTATAAAACTCTAAACTTCCATATTGTATCAATATTAAATAACTTTGAATTTTTAATTATTTTTAAAAGTAATTAATTCAATAAAATGGTCTAATTTAAGTATAAAATTTTTAAGAATTTTTAATTATGTACTTCTATAAAACATACTTTTTGAACCCCCTTACCGTTTTAAAAAGTTAAGGTCGCCGTGGGTAAGTTAAATTATCAGCTTGCTTTATTTTTTAATTTTTGTTATTAAAAATGCAAAACAAAACAAATTTACAGTTCTATAGATTTTTTATTCTATATATAAATATGTTGAATACTCATTTTTCTTGCACAAACTTAACTTAGTTGGAAAAAAACTTGAAATGTAAAACTAAAATAACATAAGTCTGTCAATCATGACACATACGTAACAAATATTCCCCTGTTTTTTAATGTTTTTAGAATTTTTAGCTTTTTTAAAATCTTTTCATTTATTAAAGAGTATAATATTGTTAGATATGTTTGTATATAATCCTTATAAAACATCACATGTTTTGTATTTTAAGAAATCTATAAAAAAATTTAAAAAAAAGTTGCTGGTGGTTGTACTCAAACCATGGCTTTTATGGTCAGAAACTAGCGCGTTAACCACTTGGCCATGCTGGTACGATGATCATCAAAATTTTAAAACTATATAAAAATTGTTGTTAACGAAAATAAATGCTGTAGATCAAAAATTAAGAAGAGGTCAATGCAATGTAGTTTTTAAGTGAAAGTCAAACTGTAAAACTTGATATATGTTTAAGTATGTTTTAACATTACATAATATGAAGTTTATGTATGTATGATATATGTTTCACGTTCGTTCACATTTTCTTATAAAGCAAAGCTGCGACTCTTTCTTGCCTCAGTTGGAATGGCTGCCAAGGGTTTTGTGTCAAACACGCTCCATAGGACACTACTACTACTATTAAAACTATTAAGTTCTGCAATAATATATAGAGATAAAAGCTCGTGTAAATTAAATTAATTAAAGAAAAATAAATAACGATTAAGCTATAATAAATTAAATGTGAAGCCAAAAAAATATAAATACACTCGATTAATAACAATGGCAAACAACAAATAAAAAAATTAGCAACAACAGCACAAATAATAACCAACTTTACGCAAACGAAAAGACAAAACACAAATATTTCAAAACAAAACCAAAAACTACAAAACAAAGTAAAAATAAAAAAATAATCTTTTGTTATTTTTAGCAACAACAAAAAAAAGAACAATTGGTAGCGATTTATATTTATGTTTTAATTAGTTCTTTTTATTATTATTTTGAAGATTTTTCGAACTTTTTTCTTTTAACTTGGCACTTTGCTTTTAATTGATTTTGTTTTGTTTTATTAAATCTATTTGTTCGTTTTATCATTTTATTCATTTTCTTGTTTTATTTTTCTTCAATCTTTTCTTCATTTATACAGGGTCCACTCCTCCATGAAAACCTCAAATATCCTTAAAAAAAACAACCTTAAAATTCCTTAAGTAACCTTATAAAAAGTTAAAATTTGAATTTATTTTATTATTTAAATGGATTATACTTATTAATAAAGATGCAAATATGTATTTCTTTGATAGTTTGCAAACCTATACTCCTATTCTGTGTATATATATATATATATATATATATATATATATATATATATATATATATATATATATATATATATATATATATATATATATATATATATATATATATATGAATATATATATATATATATATATATATATATATTTATATATATATATATATATATATATATATATATATATATATATATCTATATCTATATATATATATATATATATATATATATATATATATATATATATATATATATATATATATATATATATATATATATAGATATATATATATATATATAGATATATATATATATATATATAGATATATATATATATATATATATATATATATATATATATATATATATATATATATATATATATATATATATATATATATATATATATATATATATATATATATATATATAGATATATATAGATATATATATATATATATATATATATATATATATTTCCTTCAAAAAATTGTCGTTTGCAACCAAATCTCTTTATTATTAGGAAAATATCTCCTTAAAATCCTTACTTATAGCTTCAGTTTTAATAGTGAGAACCTTGTTATACTGTTTAATATTTTTCTTATTTCACTTTATTTTTAACTAATCTTTTTTATCCTTTAAAATAATTTTCTTCTTTTTTCCTTTTTTTTCTTTTTCACTGTTAAATAAATGCTTCCACCATTTGCGATGTCATTGCATTGTAATTTGAAAAAGAAATTTATCTAAAATTTTAGTTACATGTTTTATTTATAAAGAAAAGTTTTGTTTATAAAGAAAAGTTATTATTGCTATTTATTTTCAAAGGAAGAGTTAGATATAAAAGTTCTAAAGATCCAAAACAAGAATCTTTTTTCACGGTTAGAAGAAAAAAATTCTCAAGAAGATGAGTTTAAAGTGCGTTTTTCAAAACTTGAAAGACTTCGAGAAAATGATCATAACATCATATCTGCAATGAATTTGGCATGGAATCAGGTTAATATATTTATACCAAAAGTTTATTGTTTAATTTTATTATTATAGTATAGTTGTGTATATGTAATTGAAAAGTCTAATTTTTATAAAATGTCTAAAAGTTAACAAACAAACAAAAAAATTATTATCTTTTTATAATTTAAGTCATAAATTTTTTTATTAATTCATTTTTAACATAAATAAAAAGTTACAAGAAGAATAAAGCTCATTTTAAAAATTTATTAAAGGGATCCTTAACTTCTGAGACAAATTGTGTTCATATTAAAGAAAATGTTTAAAAAAAACATTTGGGCTGAATATTTTTGATTGAAACCAAATAATGAATGCATACCAACAAAATTGAAATTATCGTTTTAGTCGAAGCTCGCCGTCTCCATTTTTTCTTGGTTCTCGGGGTCTGTATAATGTTAGCCGCAATCTGCAGACTTGAAAATTTATTTCATGTGTGCTTAATTCATAACAGTTTCAGTATATGACTTCATCGCAATATCTTTTTAAGATGGTTTTTTTTTTGTTTTTTTTTTAAAGATATAAATATATAATTTTTTAAAGTACTTTTTCTACTACAATCAGAAAATATTTGTATAATTTTTTACTAAATCACAAAAAATATTTGTGACAGTAAAAAATTATACGAATATATATATATATATATATATATATATATATATATATATATATATATATATATATATATATATATATATATATATATATATATAATTTTTATTATTACTTAGTTGTAGAAGCCAGCCAAAATCATGACACAATTATACATATTTTGTGATTATTAGAGTTCGCAGGCAGAGAAAAAAAAAAAAAAAGCAGTGTGATGCAGTTTTTCGCTTTATATTTAGTTCATATGGTTCAATAGAGTTGTTCGTTTTATGTTTAATTTACATTTAGTTATGGTTTAACTCTTTCACTACCGCAAGCCACTGGTAGCGGCTTTCGAGTATGCATTACAATTTATCTTGTTTTGTACATAAATTTTCATTCTAGACACAGGATTTGTTTGTTCTTAAGGTTTGATTAATTCTCTACATAATCAAGAAAAAATAAGAGCTATATTGTGTAATTATAAAAAAGTTAAAAAATCTTGAATAATCCTTCTTAAAAAAAATTTAAATTTAGTTATAAAATAAAATAGCGTTAACACTGTAAATCTTAACTTGTAGAAGTGTTAAGTATTTAGTCAAGTAATTACCAAAGTATTTTTAAGAAAAAGTATTATTTTTATTCATTAAATGAGGTTTATTTTGGACTTAATGTTTTATTTACTACTTACAAAAACAAAAGTTTTAAGCACTTTGCATTTATTATTGTTTAATGATGCGTGTTATAAAATTTATTATTATCGAATTTTAATTAATTGTCAATGTTATGCTATTCAAATGTTATTTAAAAAAATGTGCGGTTGCTACAAAAAGATTTGTTTGGTTGGTAGCGAACAATTTAATACGATTCTTTGTTTTTATATTTATATTGTAACTATTTCTTGTATATTTTAGTACAAATACTTGTTTTAACTTTAATTTAGTTTGATTTGAACGGTTTTTAGTAAAAAAAGTCATTTAATATTTATTTTCTACTTAGTTTAGTTTATATGTTTTATTTAAGTCACTCGTTTTTTTTTTCAGTTTATACTTTAAATTGATTTATATGCTTTTGTAAAATTATTCTTTTAGTATCTAGCTTATATTTAGTTTAAACCACTAGGTTTACTGTAAATATTTGTTATATAATAAATTTTTATTTTTGTAAATTTTATAAATTTAATTTTTAATTACATCATAAACTTTTTTTGTGATTTTGAAAAAAGTTATACAATTAACATGATTTGTTGATTTTGGCAAAAAAATTATACGACATCTTAAAAGAAAAAATTTATACGCTGACGTCATATACCGAAACTGTTATGAATTGAACACGCATGGAATAAATTATCAAGTCTGCAGATTGCAGCTAACATTATACAGACTTCGAGAACCAAAAAAAATGAAGACGGCGAGCTTCGACTAAAATGTGAATTTTAAATTTAATGGTGTGTCATTAAGTAATATAACTTAATGCTTTAATTTGGTAGTTGTAGTGTGCGTCCTTTGTAAGCAAGAAAGTTTTATTCCCACTATTCTTGGTAATACAGAGCTTAACTTGTTTCTCCATGCAAAGGTCTTGTTCATTAAAGCTCATGTTTTAAAGTTTGAAAATAAAGGTTTGTAACAATCAAAAATGAAAAATAGAATTAAGCTTTCTTGACACTAGTTATCCTCTTGGCTCTGGGGAAAGTGAATGCAGTAAAAAAAGTTGCGTTATAATATAGCTAATTTGATTAGTTTGAAATTCTTAATAATTTAGTTAAATGAAGATATTATCTTAATGGTACAGCGATTCCAGGAAACCAGTGAAGATGATACATACAGTAGGTTATGTTATATACATATTATTGATATACTTGAATAATAATTCATGAATAAACCTGAATAATAAGTATACTAATGAACAATACTATTTAAAAAGACAAAGAGTTATGATTTTTTTTTTTTTTTTTTTTTTTGCAATAATAACCTTAATTTAAATGATTCATATCCCAATCTGAACATTTTGGTTTTTATGTCCCTATTTTCACCGCACTTCCTTTAATATATATATATATATATTTTTGCACAAAATCAAAAAAAAATAATAAACTAGCAGTTTCTTTGAATACAGACAACAGAAGCTATAGTTTTTATTTGGTTTTATTGACAGGGCACACATTAATAATAGCATAATTTAATTTTGATAAAATTTTCTTCCTGTACCTGTTTTTTACATCATAGCAACATGATAAGAGCAGATTTATTCATAAATTTTTATATTGATTTATATCTGGTATTATTTGATTCATATCTGATTCTTATCTAATATATATTATTGATTTTTGTCTGATACTACATTATTGGTTTGTATATGATATATGATTTATTATTGTAAGGAATCAATGAAACAACCACTGCTTTTCTTGAAAAACTTTCCAACAGAACAACAAAAGGTATAAGTGAGGAATTGGAAAAAAGACTAATCCACTCAAAAGAAATAACAAAAAAGTTTATTCTTGCTTTGGATGGGGTTCTTTCTCGTAAAGATAAGCTGACACAGACAATCGATAGATGCACCAAAAAAAAGGTCTATCTTATTTTGTATTTAAATATTTATAGATATTTATAATTTATAAAATATTTATATTTATTAAAATTTTTTATATTTTGCAAAAAGTATTTATCATTTACAAAGTTGCACTTAGTAAATGAAAAATACTTTTTAAGTATGAAAAGTCTTTTTTTATGTAAATATTTGTTAAATTGTGTTATACATTTTTTATATTTAGGAAAAATTGGAACATGAAGATAAAAGGTTAGTTGTTTTGTTTTTTAATGATTTTTTTTTTCTATGAGCTTTAACAACTTTAGTTTAAATTTTTTATCACCCCTAATCTGTCACAAGTCTCCAACTTACAGAACGGTTTTATTTATACAAAAGAATTAACAGAACTGTTTTTGTTGGTACAAAATTATTAACATAATTTTATTTGTAAAAAAGAATTGCTTTATTTTATTAAAACAAATACTGTACTATTGAAAACAGAACAAATACTGTACTATTAAAAATAGAACAAATATTGTACTATTGAAAATAAAACAAATACTGTGCTAGTGAAAATAGAAAAAACACTGTACTAATAAAAACAGAACAAATGCTGTACTGAACAAATAGATCACCATAGTATGTTAATATGTTTTTTAAAATAAATATTTTTTAAACTCCATATAAGTTCAAAATATAATTTTAAATATCTTTATTATTTTAATAACATTACCTTCCTTTTTTTTAAAAATTTTAAATGTATATAGTTATGTGGCAGTGGTGTAGTGGTAGAGTGCTTGCCTCATAAGTAAGAAGTTTCAAGTTTGATCCCAACATGTCCCTGGTACTACCACACTCAACTTGTTTCTCCAAGCAGCAGCCTTGTTTTTTCAAGGTTCATGTTGTGGAGTTATAGAATTGAGAGAGACTTGTAACCACCATTAAAGTAGTCTCCTAGACTAAAGGCTGAGAAGGTCACTTTTATTAGTGACCTTATCGGCCTTTCAGAGGTGAATTAACATAGAGATATTAGAATACCAGGATTTCAAAAACTGAAAATACAAATGTATACAATGTACTTAGTAGTAGTACTAAATTGTATCTGCAACAGTCTATATTGGAGTAAAAACACTATAGGCTACATTGGAGTATAAAAAACCATGTTGGAATCCATTAGAATATTTTTAATAGTCGTGTGATGTCTTACTAAAAAATAGTCATGTGATGTTATACTAAAAAATAGTCATGCTATGTCTTATTAAAAAATAGTCATGTAATGTCTTACTAAAAAATAGTCATGTAATGTCTTACTAAAAAATAGTCATGTGATGTCTTACTAAAAAGCTGAAATTAAAAAAAAGTAGTGTTGTTACTACTTTTAAGTAATTTGACTAAAATCCACTAATACATTGTTGAAATCAACAAGTCAACTAGTCGAAGTATGGAAATAATTTATTTTTTTGAAATAAATATTAATAAAAATACTAAATTAATTGATATTTCTTCTCTATTTTTTAATATATTATTTAAATAATAATGGAGCAAAACAATATTAGAGAAGGGTTGCTTCGACAACAGGATAATATATTTCCAGACTCCAATGATTTAGAGACAGTTTTAAATACTTGCTATCACAAAATGAGTTTTAATTCAAATCTCTTTTCTTGAAAAAAATTTTTCAGTGATTGTAGGAGTACATTAGAGTTGGCTTTAAAATCTTATATCATCATCCGTCAAAAAAAAATTGATTTGAAAATATTTGGGTATAATGTTATTTTGGTCTATTGACAAGATTATTAATTAAATAAAATCAAAAACATTTTTTACATAAAAAGTATTTTTGTCACAAAGATAAGCAACTTGTTTAACTAAGAGTTCCACATAATTGTACAAAAAGTATGCTTCAACAGAACTTGCTTGAAGTTGCAGCAAGACATAAAAGTAGCAGAAAGAGTAACTGCTTCTGTTATAGCTAACAAGGTTCCTTCCAGGCAACTTTCAGTTACTCCAGGTGTAAAATATTTTCTTTTAGTCATATTTGCTTAATATGCTTTTGTTTCAGTGAATATTTTATTACAACAAGAAAACTTAATAATTTGAGAAACTGTTATGTTGATGTAAACTTTTTTCCAGGACCATCAAGACAAAGAGAACTTTTTCCAGGAGCTACATCCATCTTGACTGCTCAACAAATTATACAAGTTCAAAACCAGACTGGGTTTTCAAACACTTAACAAAGTAGCTCCCCAGCGAGTAGTTGAAAAAATCTTCATGAAAAAGTTTGAGTCTTTCGGAAAGCATCTTTCTGACTTGTTTGTCACCTCAGAAATTTCAGGTACATCCAAATGTCTATCAAAGTATAACGCAAACATCTATATATTCTCACTGAAGTGTTCACACTTGTACTTGGTGTGACATTGAGTCAAAGAATCTTCATTAGTGTGGTGAGCTCTGAACATTTAGCTGCATTCAAACTGATTATACAGGCTTCCAAGCAGCAGGTACCCAATTAAAAAAAAGCCATTAAAAGTGAAATTCAATTAAAAGTCATTTTGTGACACAGATGCTATATATCAAAAAGTCATTACAATCGTATTTACAATGTGATTGTATAGATGACATTTAAATTTTGGAGCTTCACAATTTAATTGTGAAGGGCCCCAAGCCAGCTTAGAGTGGCCCTAGAGAGTTTACAAAAAACTAGGTAATAGTTATAATAGTACATACTATTGTTATTAAATGAACAAAAATTAAAGATTTAAAAGTTAAATTAAACGAAAAGATATAAGAATTTTGCAATTTTTATTTGACTAAATCAAGTTTTAGTCAAATAGTAGGAAGTCAATTAAATAGACTATTTGAATTTTCAAAGTCGACTTTTGACTTGTTGACTTTTAGTCGATTTAATTAATTTAGTCAAAATTGTCACCATTAAAAGAAATTATACTAATTAATAAAGTAATTTAAAAAATCATTTTTTATAAAGAATTATTTTAATTATGTTAAAAATAAGTTTTTGATTTTATTTTAATTTGTGAACTCAATTGAAACTAAAACCTGTCAGTTGATTATATATATTTAACTAACCAACCATTTAACTGATTATGTATGTTGCACTGACCAAAACCAGTCAATTAATTATGTATGTTGCACCGACAAAACCAGTCAATTGAATATATATGTTGAACTAAAACCAGTCAGTTGATTTTGAATGATTAACTGTATTTATCCTGTACTGCATATATGTTACATTGTTATAATTCTTTTTAATTTATTATTTATGTTGAACTGACCAAAACTACTTGGTGATTTTGAATGTTTAACAGCATTTATCTTGCACTGCATATATATTAAATTATTATGTTCTTTTAATTTATTTGTTTTCTAGCACATTATAAACCATGTACATTACAAAAAATTGCAGATGTCAGAGTAATTAGAAAAAAATTTTCGGCAGAGTAATTTAAAAATTTTTAAAATTGATTTGAGTTACAAATTATGTCTGTTAAATTAAAAAAAAACCTAACTTTCCTTTTTGAATATTATTATAAATAGATTAAAGGCTTTAACTATTGTAAAGATATATGTGTTTAAAGCGAATAAGTGCAAAAATTTGATTCAAAACAGTTAAACAAAACAGTTAATTTTGTTAACCTTTTAGTTTTTTAAATTCATGAGATCTCATAAATCATAGTCTCATAAATCATATTTCCCTATTAATTTCATGTTTGCAAGTTTCCATTAATAAAAAATTTTTCCCATTAATATCACATTATTGATATCACAATTATACCATAATGCTTGTTTTATTTTATTCATCATTTCTGTATTTGTTATTGTTAATTTCTGCGATTTTATAACATAATAACCTGTTTCTATATTTACTGTTGTGACAAAGTTTCTGACAATTTTATTTAAACTTAATGATACTATCAAGTTTTTTAATAGTTTTAAAACTATTTTTATTATTTTTGTTTTTGAAGCATCACAACTTGGTATTTGGTTTTGTTTATTTTCTTCTTATCAAAATTTGTACAAAAATATTTTTATAATAAAAGATAGTAACTTTGTTGTATACTTCTTTCTTGATTTTTTTTTTTTATTTTTAGTTTAAAGTTGTTTTCTTAAAAATCTGAACAACACTATTTAAATTTAGTGCTTTTAGGTTTTTGAAATATTTTATTCTTTCTTAAAATATTCTATATATATATTTTTATATAATTGTTTTGTAATTTAAAAGTTATTTGTAATTATTTGGATTTTTGCAAAGAATAATATCAGTGGTATTAACAAAAAATCTTACATTTTTATGTTATAAAAGTTTAGAAATTCATGTCCTAATCAAGGAATTAAACTGAAAATTCATTAATGCTGGTGAGACTATTTACTCATGGTAATAGTAATATACATAGGTAAAAACTTACATAAGTAAAATGAAACTCTGATACTTTTTAATTAATTTAATTGTGGTTATGGGTTGGAGGAGCTTGTAAACTGTGGATCGTAATCCTACTATACTGTACTATAGCTTGATCTAAAAACAGAATAACCAACAATATAATTGTGAAAAATTTAACTCTTCCATAATATCATTTTAAATAAGAAAAAGACACTATAGAAACCTATCTAAACAATTGTAGAATCATAGGCATTAAACTTATTTATATTATTAAAATATTTGTATTAAAATTTGTTAATATAATTAGTTAAAATTGATGTTATAATTTTTTTAAATATGTTTTATATTATTGGTGTGTTTCATAAATTATTTTCTTTTAGTGAAATAAGTTGGTGTGTTTCACAAATTAATTTATTTTAGTGAAATAAGTTGGTGTGTTTCATAAATTTCTTTTAGTGAAATCTCTGAGAATCAAGTAGAACAAGACTTTCCTGATGTTTCAACAATTGATTTGGAAATCAGGCAAGAAAATTCAATTTTAAGAACAGAAAACAAAAGATTGCATGATGCATATACCTCACTTCATGAAAAGTATCACCAAACTTCAACTGAGGTTTTTTTTTTTTTCTTTTTTTTATTAAAAACAAAAAATAAAACATCTAAGTTTCAATGCCATGATTGGTTCCATATAATTGCTAAGTAAATAGGCTAGTTCCTTTAATTGTGTTTGTGTTTTATATTTACTTAGTTTGCATAGTGTTAATTATTTTTATATGTTTGACTAATATATTTTAACTCTTTTTTTAGGTTGTGTTTAAATGATAAAAATAATTTTATCATTTAAATGTTCTGATCAACTTTATGTCCAAATGCTGTAATCATTTGAAGTAATGCTTTCAAATGCTGTAATCATTTGAAATAATGATTTCAAATGCTGTAATCATTTGAAATAATGCTTTCAAATGCTGTAATCATTTGAAATAATGCTTTCAAATGCTGTAATCATTTGAAATAATGCTTTCAAATGCTGTAATCATTTGAAATAATGCTTTCAAATGCTGTAATCATTTGAAGTAATGCTTTCAAATGCTGTAATCATTTGAAATAATGCTTTCAAATGCTATAATCATTTGAAATAGTGCTTTCAAATGCTGTAATCATTTGAAATAATGCTTTCAAATGCTGTAATCATTTGAAAGTTTTTGTAGAAAATAAAAATGACTTTTTAGATCAAAATATGAAAATAATTTTTTAAATGGAAATAAGAAAATAATTTTACTAGAAATTATCAAAAGTTTTATTTTAATAAAATATTAAATAAGAAAATCTTTTTTATTAATAGTTTTTAATTCTAAAAGATCAGCATGCTTCTTCTCTAAAAGACAATGCTGAATTAAACTCAAAACAACAAGATATGGAGTATGACCTACAAAAAGCAACAAAACAGTTTGAAAAACTAATCAAAAAGCTCAATGAAACACATGAAATCGCTAAAGCTGGTGCTTTCACCAATCCATCTGCAAAACTAGATTGTGTAAGTCTACACATTTTTCAGCTTACAACTGCTAAATTTTTTTCTGTAAGAGTTATAAATTTTTAGGCTGAAAGTTTTCAAAGTGAACTGGATTCTCGAGATGAGTTAGCAATGAATAGATTAACAGAGTTAGAAAAACTTCAAAAAGCTCATCAAAAATTAATTGAAGAGCATGAACTTTTAAAGCAACAAGTATGTTTTCTTTAGTTACAAGTATGTTTTCTTTAGTTACAAGTAAAGTTTAACTATTATTGTATTTGAAATTGTAAATATGTAATATTTATATAATACTAGCATATTATCTTAAATATTTTGTGAACAGTGTCCAATGAAGTTAAATATTTTTAATATATTTTGTCAACAGTATAGAATGAAATTAAATATTCTGTGAACAATGTCTAATGAATTCTTTTGTAACTTTATTAAATAAAGAGTTTCAGTTTAAAGCTAAAGATTTTTAATTTTAGCTTCAGAGTTTTGATTTATAGCTTTGGTTACAATTTATAGCTTTAAAAAATTTTTATACAAAATAATAAATAAGTTATGAAGCAATTTTATGTTAAAAAATATACTTTTTAATTTATAATTTTTTGTTAATTTTAACAAATAATATATATTTTGTAAATTTTTTGTTGCCAACTTTTCTTTTTCTTTTTATTTATAGAATTTAAAGGCTTAAATTTAAAGTCACTAAAAGTAGTTTATCCAGTCGTCCCACATGTCCTGAAATTCCTTAACTTTCTGATTTTTAAAATCTGTCCTGAAATGTCTGTCATTGTAATTTGTCCTGAATACCTTGAAATTTTAAATCTTATCTATATTTAAAAATATTTAAATTTTAAACATTTTTAAATATGGTTGGGCACATTTATTATGAATGCAGGGAGCTAAGTGGCTGGCCTGTTTCGCTTAATTGTAATTTTATTTTGATCAAATTTGTTATGTATAAGGATGGAGCGAATTAAATGATCACGTATTGCAATATCTGGAAATATTTCTGGTATCCAGATTCTCCAAATTCAGTTTTATCATTCTCATTATCTACATTCGCTGTGAACACTGTTTCAACAAAAAGTTCTTAATTAAAAATTAATTAGTAAATAAGACAATAAATTTACAATAAAAAAGAAAACTAATTTATGTCTGCAAAAATAGTAACAGTCAAAACTTGCATAATTTAATTTATTGTTAGTTTAAACACCAGTTATGTTCATGTTCAACATTGTTCCATGGATGTTCCTAATGTTAATAAGTCTTTTTTACAGAAGCTTAGTCAAACATTAAAGTCATAAAATATACAGCCAACTATTGATATTGGAACATGTGCTCTCCACCCTATTTATACAGTCTTCATGAAAAGAATTGAGTTAATTCTATTTGATGATGAGGTATTTGTAAATGTTGCAGTTGTTTTTAAGCAAAATTCTGAAACAAGAAGTTATCTCTTGCAAAATAAGTAAAGAATTAGTTGACATTGACTGTAAAGATTCTAACAACTGGCTTACATCTATTAATATTGGTTTATCACCTCGTAGAGTAACAAGCAGTTTAGACACAGATGAAAGTAAGCAGTCAAAATGTGCAATGAGTAAGTCATTATTTGCTATTTCTACATTTCTGCAATTTCATTCACCAGTAAAAAATCTAAAGAAACTTTCAGTGTGTTCATCCATCGTTTAGAATATTAAAGCAGAGAAAGTTGTACGTGCAAAGTAAAAGGTATGGATCTCATGAAGATACAAGCACTGATAGCTTTTGTGATAAGGTTAACTCAGAGCGGATATGTATGTTTCGGAAACAGATCCAAAGGTGATTTTGTGGTTAGTAGGGCTTCTCATTTCCTGTAAAAATGTAATTCCCTGGATTCCGAGAAAATAGTTTAAATACTATTACTTTTAACAAGAAAATAAAGACAAAATAATTCTTAGAAAGCAAGACTCTCAAAATAAAACAAATTTAAACTTTAATAACATATTTTTTATATATATATATTAACTTTCAAAATAATTTTTTAAAAAACATAAATTATCAATAGCCTATCACTTAACAATGACTGAATTTTCGTAATTAAAAGACCTGCTGCAGAAAAAGCTCTTTCTGAATCGATTGAAGTTGGTGGGATAGTTAATAGAGCATTATTGCAATCTTTATTTTTGCGCAAAACATCAAATAAAAACACTAATACACCCTCTGTATCTAGTAGGAAAGCGTTACGATGGCCAAGTCTTTCAATTTCCAATTTAATTGGTTGTAACGCCATTACTACAGTCTGTACCACTAAATATTCCTCCTCTGAAATATTGTTAATATTGCTGTGTTTAAAATCTATCAATGCTTTCAATATACATGTTTTTAATGCAATAAATCGCTCTAACAGTGCATGAAGGCAATGTTAGAGCGATTTGTTGCATTAAAATATAAAACTATATTACCTACAATTAATTTCCGAAATAGTGTGCTGATAGTAGATTTACTTAAATTATTTAAAATTAGCTGTAATTACTAAACATATTTTAAACTTCACTTACTCTGTTTTCACTTATTGCACTTTTTACATACAAACTACTTTCTTAATGTAACTAATTATTTTACTTACTAACTATTCACTTTTATGCATAACTAATTACTTTTTTTGCATGTGCAAGTAACTTGGCCGTGATCTTCCTAATTTTTATAGAAATTCACTATAAAAGGGAAAAGGAAGTAATTAGTACTCAAATTTTAAGTAATAATATTTTTAATATCTTTACAAATGTCTTTACATTTGTAAAGATATTTAAAATGTTATTACTCAAAATTTGAGTAAAAATATGTTTAAAAAAATTACTGGGATTTCTGGGAAATTTCATTGAAAAATGCCGGGATAACGGGATGGTTTTTTATCTCCGGCATCCTGGGAAAACAAGATCCTGTTTGAGAAGCCCTAGTGGTTAGCATCTGGGCATGTTGACATTTGTACATATTGGCAACTTGTCTCTGGTATTATAGATATCCTGTTCAGGTGTTCAGAAATACATTATTCTTTCTTATATTATTACATCAGCTCTCTCATTATCTCATACTAATGCCCAACCTGAACAAGACTTTTCAGTCAATAATGCTTTGTTAGCTAAGGATAGGTTATCCATCTCAGAATATACCATTGTTGCATTGTGAATAGTAAAGACAGAGATTGACATAGCTGGGTTCATTTCTGAGTTTGCTTTATGCATTAATAAGCTTTCATTGAGAAATTATACTATGAAACTTAAATTTTCTCAATGAATATAAGCCTAGTTGGAAATAGTACAAAAAAACATTTCATCAACTTGTTTCTTTCACATTTGGGGCAGGGAAGGGGCAAATATTTTTGGGCAATTTTGTTCCCAGGCTCCAATAACCGCAATTTTTTGCAAAGCATCTTTATTTGATATAAGTATAAACATATAAATGTTTGGAACTCCATGTCTGGAAGTTAGATGTCTCCAAGACCAAAAAATGCTGGATCCGTCCCTGGTTAGATATTGACAGAAAGTTGTAAAGTTATTGATAATAAACTTTATTAATTCAGCAAGTATTTTTTGTCTTCAGCTGCAATAGAAATGGTATTTCTAGAAAATTCAAAAGGTTAGGATTTCTACATCAAGCAGTAGTTTAAAAAGTTAACTGTTTCTTGTTCACAAAATATTAATAGACAAACCGCCTGTTAAAGTAAAAAATGATACATATCTTATATGCTTAAGTAAAAAATGATATTTAAGTAAAAAATAATATATGCTTCAACAAAATATGATTTGAGTTAGAATTTGAGTTAACTTGTCCTTTAGTTTTTATCTACTATTGTCTAATGTTGATAGTAAAGGATTTTAAAAGTTTTTTGAAAAAATCATTGGGTTAAAATTTTTTGATAAAAACATTACCACTTTTCAAGCAACTTGTTCAGCCAAAAACCAACAATTTTGTTTATTAGCTAGCATCATCTAGTTGATCTAGTTGTTCAGCTTGTAACCATCTTCTATAACTGTCAGCCAGCAAGTGGGATGCTCTAAGCATGGCTCTAAACTCGAATTAAATCAAATTAAATTCTTTTAAAAAAAAAAGTCTAACCACCTCAAATTTAGTCCTCTCTGGAATTATAAAAGTCATTTTTATTTTTTATTTGCTTTTTTTTTTTATATAAAGTTTTATTTTTTAAGTTTTCATATTTAGTTATTTCAAATTCCCGATGAAGAAGTAATCAATTCTCCAAAGTATAAAATGCTAGAAATACAGTTTACAATGTTGTTTAATGATGCCCAAACGGTAATATATTTTTTTAAAATATTTTTTCTTCTAACATTTGCATTATAATGTTACTTATTATTGCTTGAGAGTTTTTAAAAACTTTTTGTTATGTTAAATAACTGTTGCTACTAGTTACAAATTTTGTCAAAAACTCCATTATTTTTTTTACACCAACATTTGCTTTTGAAGTGTTTGAAAGTAATAGTGTCTATAAATTGATGTTTAGAATAATGTTGTTTAGAAACAAGTAGTTAAAATAATATTGTCTGTAGACAGATTGTTATAATAATGGTGTGTTTATCATGTCAGTAATAGTGTCTTAATAATACTAAATAAACAATAATGTTCTCTGTGGGCAGATTGTTGTAATAGTAGTGTGTTGATTATGTTAATGGTGTGTTAATCATATTAAATAAAAACAAATAATGTTGTCTGTGGGCTAATTGTTGTAATGTAATGGTGTGTTGATCATGTTAACAATGGTGTGTTCATAAATAAACATAAAGCAAAATATTAAAATTAACATTTTTTTAACATTTTAATAAGATTTAAACCAAATTCAATATTGTTGTTTGAATTTAAATTGCATTAAATCTGTTTTTTTCTAAATTATTGTTATTTACTTCAAACTCATTAAATTGATCAAAATGTAAAAATTACATTTATTTTAATGGATATACATTAGGAAAAATAAACTTAGCTAACAACTTATTAGATAAACTAATAATTAATAACTAATTAGCTAACAACTCCCAGTAAAAATGTAGCTAATAATTAGGTTTGAGCTGTGACCGGATATCAAATTTAACAGTTATATTTTGTAAAAATTAAGAAATTTACTGGTAAGTGGTTTAAAAAAAGGTAAATTAGAAATATATGAATTCTTTTTAAATGATGATATATTTTGATTCCCCTGCATCGAGAGTTTAATTTTAACAGCAAAAGATTAAAAGGTATTAAAAATAACATCTTTTAATCTTTTACTTATTGTAATAAGTAAAAGATTAAAAGCTGATATTTTTATTATTCATTTTTCAATAAAAGATGAGGAAGCATTCTCTAGGAAGCACAAGGTATCAACCATATCATTTCTAATTCTAATTTATAGAATTTTATAAGACTAATTTATTTTAAGAAATTGTTCAACAATACATACGCTGGTAAAAGTTTTAAACAAATTTAAAAACAACTCAAGGTTTGCATTTTTTTTTTTTTTTCTTGTTGCAAAAACCAACTTTTCTTATGAAAAGACCATTAACTCATCATAAGAGGTCTGCTTCTTTGGTGAATGTTAAACGGCCTCTTTTAACTTTTCTTGGATAGAAAATTGTTCTTCATTGTCTTTGGGCCCTATAACATTACTTTGGTTACTACACATTGATCCGAGATTTTGATTTCTTTTGGGGAAAAAGCCTTGAAAGCATGGATTTAACAATTTTCACAAGAGCTTTTTGTGGCAGCATATCAAAAATTTAGTCTTGTTAAACCAGTCTTAATAAATATTTATACAGGTTTACCAAATTTTTTTGTCATCTCTAAGCTATTTGGTTTATAATTAAATCTTTCATTTTGATGAAAAAACTCTTTTCTGGTCTTAATTAGAACTATAAAGATTCTATCTGCAGTTCACAATCAGAGAAAGGATAAAAAAAATTAAAAATATATATATTAAACAGATGTTCAGAATAAAACAAAGACACGATACTAATTAGTGTAAATTTAGACACTGCGCATAAAAATGATTAACTCTTATTATAAGTCATAACCATAACCTTATTATAAGTCATGACCAACCTTATTTCATAACCTTATTATAAGTCATGACCAACTCGCAATATCATAACCTTATTATAAGTCATAACCTTATTACAAGTCATGACCAACGTGCAAGGTCTAAATGTAACATGCCCAGAGCTAAATTTATTTTTGTAATATTTAATTTAGGTAATCTACGGTGGTTGAGCTAGACTGAGCAATGCAAGTCCACAGAGAAATATGAAGCAATTCTATTGATAAAAATTTTGAGTATAAAGGAGGATAAGTAATAAAAACAAAAAAAAACAGATGTCCATAAAAACCACATATTTATTTTAAGAAGGAAAAGCTTATACATAAATCATAGTCAACAGTAAATCTATCTTTAAAGTATACATAAGAAAAATAGGACACATAAGTAACAATAAATCTTCAGTAAATGCAAAAGTTTAATATACTTTAAAACAAATATACATATGTATAGATAATAAAAAAATATAATAGATAAATATAAAATGTATAGATAAATATAAAATGATAGCAGGTAAAAGATAAAGAAAAAACATTGCTTTTGTGTAATCATAAGTTATGTAGTGGTGGTAATAAACTTCTCTTCAGAATTGCGTTTATTATTACCGGTGTTTCGAAGAGGCTCAGCACTAATACCTAGTTTATCCTGTCAGATAAACATCATCACCATTTATGCTTTACCCTATGATTTACCCCTACTCCATACTGCAGTAAAAAAGGACGTCACTACTAAAAGCCAAAGCCCTAACTTCTCCTAAATTTGTAAAACACTAATAACTTTGAAGAAATAATATAGATAGTGAGAGATGTGCATTCAATACCTAATAATATAACAAATTTGAAATAATAATAATAATATATATATATATATATATATATATATATATATATATATATATATATATATATATATATATATATATATATATATATATATATATATATTATATATATATATATATATATATATATATAAATATATACATACATATATATATGTATGTATATATATATGTATATATATATATACATACATATATATATATACATATATATATACATACATATATATAATATATATACATATATATACATATATATATATATATATATATATATATATATATATATATATATATATATATACATATATACATATATATACATATACATATACATATACATATACATATATATATATATATATATATATATATATATATATATATATATATATATATATATACATATACATATACATATACATATACATATACATATATATATATATATATATATATATATATACATATACATATATATATATATATATATATATATATATATATATATATATATATATATATATATATATATATATATATTGAATAAAATTTAAATAAATTTTTTTTAACAAAAATGTAAAAAAATGCAAAATTGTGTCTATATAAAAATATTTAATGCTGCAGTTATATTAATAAACATATAACAACAACAAACAACAACAAGATATTTTCCTCAAAATTTACAGTCATAATTTCAATAATATATTAATAATAATATTAATAATAACAATAATAACAAAAATAATAATAAGAAGAATAAGAATATCTATAATATTATAAATAATAAAACCAAAATATCATTATTAAAAGTAAATATAAATAAATGATTGACAAGGCAGGAGCCACTCATGCAGAAACCTGATCAAAGGAGTGACACCAAATAGTCGCGGTTTGAAGCATAAGTGGTGATGGCGTTTGTTTGATAGGATAAACTAGTTATAGGTTTAAAAGTTTTTAAATAATATTATAAATAATAGAACCAAAATATCACTATTAAGAATAAATAGATATTCATAATAGAGTAAAAGATATAGATATTCATAATAGAGTAAAAGCAACAGCAAAAATAATAGTTTCCATAATAATTATAATATTTCCATAGTAACAATAAAAATTTATTTGTTTTAATTTAAGATTAAAAAAAACAAAGCATTTTCTTTATAGTCACTATATGTTAGTCATTATCTGGTTAGGAGTTATTTCAAAATAATTTTCAAAATTTTGATATAAAATAAAATGTTCAAAGAGTAAGAGAAACGAATGAACATTTATAGATAAAAATAATAGTTTTCATAATAATTATAATCATAATAGTAATAAAAAAATAGGAGTAATGAAAATAATAAATAATAATGACAAAAACAATAAAGTTTATAAAAATTTTAAGAAAAATAAGAAAAATAAGAAAACTAAAAAAAGTTAATAATGATAAAAATATTAAAATAAATTTTTTTTTACATTTTGTTTAAATTTATTTTGTTTCAAATAAAGAAATAAAGATAAATTATTTTTAAGTTTTAATTTTTCGAACTCATTCACAATGTACACAAGACTTTGATTCCATTCACTGATGCACTGATGTGTAATTGAATACTTACCATACCTCAAAGTTTTATTGGGAGGTACATTTCCATTATTGATGTTTCTAGTAAAATGTGAATATATAAATCGAGTTTCAGTGAAAAAGGTTGTAATAAAGGAAGGTAAATTTTTATTAAAGGAGTTAAAAACAAAAAGAAGATTAGCAAATCTAACTAGTGCTGACAAGGTAGGAATTTTAAGTTTTTTGAAAAAGTTTGAAATTTCTGTATTATGGAGTTGAAAACTTATTATTTGGATTGATTGGTACTGAGCTGATAACAATTTATTAATATTGCAGTTGCCAATTTGTCCCCAAACAACAGCAATTGAGATGAGACTGAAAAATTGCAAAGTACAGATTCTTAAGGGTAGTTTCATCACAATATTGAAAGTATGCCATTAGCTCGATCAAGTTTTTTGTGGAGTGAGTCTATATGAAAATTCCATGAAAGGTTCTAATCTATAAAAATACCAAGATATTTAACAATGTGTGTTGGATATAAACATCTATTATTAATTTTAATTTTAGTTATATGATGGTTGTATAAAAGTCTTGGAGGTAAAAAAAATATTAGTTCATTTTTCTAATTTCAGAAAAATTGAGTTTGCATTTAACCAATGAACTAAACCTTTTAGATCTAAGTTTATATTTTTGCACAAGGAATGATGAGATTTATTAATATGCAAGATGTTAGTATTATCAGCAAACAAATAGACTGATGGACAGTGATAATAACAAATAGAAGTGGACAGAGTTATTTAGATCATTAATCTAAATAAAAAACAATAAAGAGCTAAGAACAGAACCTTGGGGAACACCACAAACTATGTGTTTGTTATTTGATTTGTAACCATTAATGCTAACAAACTATTTCCGATTTGAAAGATATGATTGAAACCAATTACAAGCAACTCCTCAGATTCCATAATGTTCAAGTTTAGAAATTAAAATGGTATGATTAACAGTATAGAATGCTTTTTGTAAGTCGATAAAAATACCACCAATGAAATGGCCAGTATCCAGTGTCTTTTTAATACTTATTAAAGCCTGGCAAGGCTTTAATAAGTATTAAAAAGTGTTTTGATCAAAATCTAAACTGAAAATCATTTAAACAGTTAAATGAATTCAAAAATTAGTATAATCTATAATACATTAGTTTTTCAAGGAGCTTGCTAATGTTAGATAGAATTGAAATTGGTCTATAGCTAACTATAGACATAAGAGTTTTGAGCCATTTTTATATACTGGAATGACACAAGATAATTTCAAAATGTCAGGAAAAATTCCATTTAAGAAGGAGATATTAAATAGCTTAGAAAAAATATGAGAAAATTCAGAATTAAAATCAAAAAGAATGTTTGTAGGATGTTATAAAGATGTTTTAATATTAATCATGATAGTTATAATGATAAAAATGTTGCATGTTGCTGATGTTTTAATGCTAAAAATTGTTCAACTGTTATGATTATTATGATCTTTGATTTTATTTTTTTTTTAGTGTTTCTTGACTTTTCTTGAAATTTTATTATATAACTTTTACTTTAACTTTTGTTGGAAACTTTGATTTTAATTATGATTTTATTTTTTCAGATAAGAAAGAGCTGCGAAGAAGCTCGACGAACCATTATAAACAATAAGAATCAGCATATTCAACAGCTGGAAACATTAGAGGTTTTTTAAAAATAATACATGTTGTTGTATATAAAACATTGATAAATAATGCTTTAAAAATTAACAACATTATTAAGTAGGACACCATTCTAAATCGTGATTTCTTTTTTTCACTTTTGCTGTTAGCTTTTCCTATTAAATTTTTCATTATTCTTTTGTTTTCTTTTCTGATATTATGTCTGATATATTATCTGCTAAGCAATTCATTAAAGTATTAAATATATTAGGTTTTGAATATAAAAGTTTAGATAAATATGAAATTTGTATATTTAATATTAGTATATTTAGCAATTTTTCTGTTGTTGCATCATGTTTTTGTTATTTTATCTCTCCAAGGCATTAATATAACAATATACAAATAAAATAACTTTCAGTTCACAACTAAACTTTAGAACACCAGAAAAAATATATATACATTAATATAGTCATAGACACATTACACATTAATATAGTCATAGCTCTATGTATGTATATATATATATATAATATATATATATATATATATATATATATATATATATATATATATATATATATATATATATATATATATATATATATATATATATATATATATATATATATAAAGAGAGAGAGAGTTTTACTATTCACAAAACATACTTTTTATGATTTCTTATTTTTATTTATAAACTATGATTTTTTTCTAATTTGTGCTGATCTTTAAAAAATATATTTATTTTATCTATTTTATCATTTTATTATATGAGGAATTCAAGAAGACTAATAATTTTAGATGCTTTTTAAACAAAAAACAAAAATTTTTAAAATAAATAGATTAAAATACTAAGAGTCAAGCAATAATTTATTATGCAAAAGCAACAATATCATCCTATAATAATTTAATTTTGAATTTAGTGCTGCTGCTCTTGCTACTGCTGCCATTACTCATTTGTGCGTGTTTTTGCATTGTGGCAACCTTATATCATTTATTTTTTAGTCTTTTGTTTATTAAATAGTGTTAAAACTTTCATTAAACAATACTCTGTCATGCGATTCTGATGTAAAATACAGTGGTTCAAATCCTTCTTCTTCCACATTATTATTTTTTTTTTATTAATCTTTTTTCAATTTTTTTAAATGCAGAATAAAACATTTTTAAAGGTCTATGTTGTTATTATATGAGATATAAATTTGATGTTATATAAATAAAAATATAGAGATATATACTATAACAAACAAAAAAGACTTTAGAAGTTTTTAAAAAAGCTTAAAATTTCAATTTATGTCAAAACAGCAGTAGATATTTTTTGCGCTCATGTCATGATTGAGTTCCTTAAGTTGTATGCTTAAGTAATTAGTTAAGTCTGCGTGTTCAACACGAATCAGAAAAATTTTTCTTATAGGAAAAAAGGTCATGGTTTGTTTATTATTCCACATAATTTTAAGTTAATTTCAAATTCTGTGTGAAAATCTTATCACAATAACCTTCCTATATTTATGAACAGTACTTGATTTGTAATTGATGATTCATCCACCCTTCATCTTCAAGGATAAACTCTATCTTTCTTGGAAAACATATATCAAATTGATTGCAAAATTAGCATCTGCTCAGGTTGCATCTCTTTATCGTGCTCACCACTTTCTTACTCAGGATTCTATTCTTTATCTCTATCGATCTCAAATCTTTGTATAGAATACTGTTGCTATATCTGAGGCGGATCTTCCAATGATGCCCTTTCTCTTTTTAGACAAGGTGCAAAAACTCATTGTAAACATAGTTGGACATACTCTTGCAGCCAGGTTCCAACCATTATTACATTGTCATAATGTTGCTTCTCTTTTTCTTTTCTATAAATACTATAATGGGCACTGTTCTAAAGAGCTAGTATCTCTTGTACCATCAACTAAAATTAATTCTCGTTTTACTCATCATTCAATTAAGTCTCATCCTTTTACTGTGAGTGCTCCTGAGTGCTCTAAAAGTTCTTATTTGTCTAGGTTTTTTTCCCCCAAAGATCAGTATTTTGGAATTCGCTTCCTTCCTCTTTTCTTCCTTATTCATATAATTTGCAATCTTTTAAGTCGTCTGTTAATCGTTATCTTGCTCTATAAATTTTAACTTTTCTCTTTTTTTCCAGTAACTGCCAATTCTAATAGTGGTTGCTTGCAACCTTGTTGGAAGTGAAGATGTTGAAAAAAAAATGTTTTTAAAACTTATTATACTAACTGTAATTAATCAACACATTTCAGCAGGTATTCTAGATATTATTTAGAATACCAGCTTTAGATACTAATATCCAAACTGCTGATAAATTGCGACTCACAGAATGAATATAGAAGCGTTAAAAACTTTTTAAAGCCTTTAAAAGTTAATTATGTAATAAATTTTTTTATATATAACTTTAAAAGATATTATGTATAGTTTTTCTATTGCTTACTAAAAAATATTAAAGTAAGGAATAAGTATTGAAATGGTCGGTGACTTGGTATAAACTTACCAAGTCCTGTATTTTACAGGACCGGATAACTAGTTTTATTTATGCAGTAGCAACAATATCAAATTTAAAGTCAGAAAAAGTTTAAAAGCTTTTAAACTTTTTCTGTTAAAATTTTTTTTAACTTAGCATAGGCATGTAGTTTGCTTTAAAAAATTACTTGTTCTATAATATATATAATATTCCATTACCAGATACAAAAATCTGTTTAAATTGTAGAAACATTTTATTGCAACTAAAACTTTGAAATATTGAATAGCAATTGTAAAATAAAAAAAGAAAAAAAAATTATTCTAATTCTTTTCTAAATATTTTTTATTTTTATATTATCTAAATATTTTATTTTTTTAAAAAAGACTAAGATTTTACTAAAACTCTCTCACATGTTATTTTCTCTTACATGTTATTTAAAACTAATTCTCTCACATGTTATTTAAAACTAATTCTCCCACTTGTTATTTAAAACTAAATCTCTCACTTTTTATTTAAAACTAATTCTTTCACATGTTATTTAAAATAATTCTCTCACATGTTATTTTCTCTCACATGTTATTTAAAGCTAATTCTCTCACATGTTATTTAAAACTAATTCTCTCACATGTTATTTAATACTAATTCTCTCTAATATGTTATTTAAAACTAATTCTCTCTAATATGTTATTTAAAACTAATTCTCTCTAATATGTTATTTAAAACTAATTCTCTCTAATATGTTATTTAAAACTAATTCTCTCTAATATGTTATTTAAAACTAATTCTCTCTAATATGTTATTTAAAACTAATTCTCTCTAATATGTTATTTAAAACTAATTCTCTCTAATATGTTATTTAAAACTAATTCTCTCTAATATGTTATTTAAAACTAATTCTCTCTAATATGTTATTTAAAACTAATTCTCTCTAATATGTTATTTAAAACTAATTCTCTCTAATATGTTATTTAAAACTAATTCTCTCTAATATGTTATTTAAAACTAATTCTCTCTAATATGTTATTTAAAAGCATTGAAGTGAGAAACAAAAGCAAGCAGAAAAACTTTCAAAATTTTGTAAATTTAAAAACAATTAGAATCTGTGTAAAACAAGTTTTGTACATAATGCACCCCGTTCCTAATTAAAATTTTTATTTATAACTCTAACTCCCACCCCACAGGGAGGGGTAGGCATAAAATTTTTTTGTTACTTCATTTTTTTATTATGATAAGTAAGGCCATGCAGTTTACCAAGCCAAACTGTTCACTTAAAATCAAACAAAAATAAAAAAATCAAATTAAATCAATCAAATTATTCTAAATATGATAAAAACCTAAAAAAAACTTCTTTTTAATCTTTTTACAAGAAATTAAGATACCTTTTTTGAAACTAAAATTGCAGACATTCCTTTTTTTAAAAAACTCAATTTAATTTAAGTAAACATAAAAAAACAGCTAAAAATTATAAAGCAGAAAAATACTGGTTTCTTAATAGTAGCCCAAAAAGGGGTAAACAGATTCTATCTGTTAACCAGCCTCACACCCCTTCTTCATCTATTAGGCTGGCACAGATGTATTTTTAATACATTGTTTCCAGTTTGGGATGATGAATGTTTAGGATGTTATTTCTTCTTGACTCGATGCATCGGTTTTGCTTGTGTCTCTGTTTTTATGAATAGGCAACTCATTCTATTATCTCCTAATGAAGGTACAGCTCTAAAAATCAATTTTATGTATCTGACGTCGGCTGGTAGTCAAGTTTCTTGAACTCTGTGGTAGCTCTCAGAGAGGCTGATTCCATCAACAGCTGAAAAATATCAAAGTATTAACAGTGCCATGTTACCATGGATGGTGTCCCTGTTCATACTTTTGGTGTGCATTGCCAAGGACACATTGGAGCCCTTTGTTACAGCTTAGGGTTTATTAATAGTATTGAGTCAATTGCTTGGGATATTAAACAGTGTACTAAGTACTATCTATGTTTCAAGTCAAGTTCTTTAACAAATCTAAAAATAAGAAAGTAACAAAAACTATAAAACACAAAATGCCACTGTCATCACCAAGTTTGCTAAACCTATCATTCACTAATATTCGTGGTCTTCGAAGTAACTTTTCTTGTGTTGAGTCTTATCTCTTACAAAGTTCATCAGACCTACTTGCTCTTTGTGAGACTAATTTGAGTTCAGCTGTCTCATCTTGTGATCTTAGTGTTAATGGTTATCTTCCTTTAATTCATAAAGACTCCAATAGTCACATGCTTCACCTATTTGTCTTCACCGAATTCACCCATTTGGCGGGAAACTAGGTTTGGATCCACAGACTGCTCTTTTATGTGCTTTCGTTTAGCACCAATTCACTCGATCACCTTTTTTGTTCTATATTGCTCTCCTTCATCTCAAGATTGCACTCTTCTTGATGTTATTTCTGATCATATTGACCAAGCTCTTTCTCTTTATCCATCAGCCAATATGGTTGTTGTCGGTGACTTCAATGTTCATCACACAAAATATCTTGGCTCTAATGTCAGTGACTCTGCAGGCATTAAAGCCCACAACCTTTCTCAATCCCTAA